GATGGTACCTATGAAAATCTTTTGAAAGGAAGCACTGGCTTGTGTTCAAGCATCTTATGCTTCTTAAGGACACGCAAAGTGCTTCAGCTCTTGGTGCAGTGTACTGAGCAAGAATCTGAGGCCACTTGTGAGCTTAGCAGGAAAAAAGTGCGGCGATAAATCAGAACATGAGGAAGGGCGGGACGGGGGTTCATGGGGTCATGGGTTTGCTCTCCCTGATACAGTCTGATAGGTGTACAATAAGACACTGGGTTAAGTCATTATGTTAACAGAAGTACCTGGTTCAGAAAAGGGAGTTTCTGGCTGGGCTGACCTGAGATCCAGAAAGGTCTCCTGCTGGGGTTGGGTTATCGGGAGAGAGATGCTGTGAGCATAAAAGGGTGAACATAATGCGTAGTCTGTGAAGCTCGGACACAGGCTTGAGAGGTGTGAGATGGGGCATGGCACTCTTCTTCCAGGACTGCGCTCATTACTGCCTTCTTCTACAGGCACTAAACTGGACAGCTCGGGCGTGGCCTTTGCAGTAGTAGGGGCCTGCCAGGCTCTGGGTCTCAGAGATGTCCACCTGGCTCTGTCTGAGGATCATGCTTGGGTGGTGTTTGGGCCCAATGGGGAACAGACAGCTGAGGTGACCTGGCATGGCAAAGGCAACGAGGATCGCAGAGGCCAGACAGTCAATGCTGGTGTAGCTGAGCGGGTATGATATCTTCCCTCCATCTTGCCCTCTTCCTTCTGTGAGCCTAAGTTGTCTGAGGCTCCCCTCAACCCATCACCCCTCTGAGTTTATGTACCAAGGGGGGAGGCAGATGAACCGGTTTATGTTGCTATGCCCTAGAGCAGGCACAAGGTGGGATATCCTGAGATAGACATCATGCTTTTCTCCCTTTCCAAGAGCTGGCTGTACCTGAAAGGATCATACATGCGTTGTGACCGCAAGATGGAGGTGGCGTTCATGGTGTGTGCCATCAACCCTTCCATTGATCTTCACACTGACTCTTTGGAACTGTTGCAACTACAGCAGGTGAGGAGATTGCCCTTGCCCAGGGCCCTCCTTTACCCTTCTGTAAAATGGACAGATCCTTTTCAATGCACAAGGGAAAGTAGAGTAGAGACATGAAGGGCTTTGCGAGTGTTGACGAATCCTAGCCCTTCCCTGGTGGAGAGGCCCTGCTGCCTCTGGTCACCTCTCTGCCCGACAGACAGCTCCCTTCTGTTCACTGCACTTCTCTCCCTTTGGCTCTAGAAGCTGCTCTGGCTGCTGTATGACCTAGGACATCTGGAAAGGTCAGTAGAAGGATGTGATCAGATAGGCCTTGGGGGGATCAGGGAGCTGAGTGATAGCCTGAGCTTATGCTCTGTTCCTAGGTACCCCATGGCACTAGGGAACTTGGCAGACCTGGAGGAGCTGGAGCCCACCCCTGGTCGGCCAGACCCACTCACCCTCTATCACAAGGTGAGTGATATCACAGCAGCTCCTTTCTGGGGCTGGAAAGGATATAGGTGAAAAAGGAAGAATGTTGTGTGCTGGAGGGTATTTCCTGCCTTATTTTGTGTAAGGCATGTGTGTAATGAGAGTAGTTCTGTGTAAAAAGAGCCCTGGGTTCCCTAGCCTAGAAGTGGCAGGGCCTGAATTTATCCCACAAGCCCTGCATTTTTCACCTGCCCTTTATTATCCTGGATGTATCCTGTGGTAGCACTGTGGAGAGATGTTAGCATGCTCTTTGTGGTAGAAAGACGGTTGGGCTTAGAAGTCTTTATACGGGACTATGCTGGGGAGAGACCTGCCCCAGGCTTGAGTGTTTCCCTGCTCCACCCTAGGCCTTGTTTTGCGGGGTCACCACTTCTACTGTCTGCCCTCAATTTAGCAAGTAAGCTTGTAGATCCAGGCCTGGGATGGAGGGGGTGGGGGGAGTAAGGAACACCAGGCAAAGGGGCTAGCAGAGAATGGACCCAGAGTTAGAGACCGGGAGGACCCTTTGGCATCATCTTTCTGTAGCATATCAGTGATAAGGCAGCTGGGGGGTGCCTCCCTGAGATTCCTCTGCTCCATCCTCCAGGGAATTGCTTCAGCTAAGACCTACTACCAGGATGAACACATCTACCCCTACATGTACCTGGCTGGCTACCACTGTCGCAACCGCAATGTGCGCGAAGCCCTGCAGGCCTGGGCCGACACTGCCACTGTTATCCAAGAGTGAGGATTCCCCTGGCAGGCCTCCAGCCTGTCCTTTCTCTCTATGACTTTCCAACCGGTCATCTAGTTGTAAGACCTTGTCCCAAGCTCTGTCCTCTCTGCTCAGCCCCTACACAGCCAGGGCTGCCATTACTTGGGACTACTTGGGACGTGAGATTCCCCGGTTAGCTCCTCCCCTCATGCCTGGCCTTCACTCCTCTCTGCCCAGTTGATCCTGCTTTACAGTCAGTTGTGTTTCCCATGGTACCACTGTCTCTGCCCATCTTCTAGTCCAGTCCCGCTCCCTAACCTTGCCGTGGACTAATATCACCATCAGCTGGGTGGACAAGGTCTCCAGCCTCTCTCCTAGTCAGTGGGATGTCCCATTGTGGGACAACTGTCAACTGAATCCTGTGTGTTCTCACAGCTACAACTACTGCCGGGAGGATGAGGAGATCTACAAGGAATTCTTTGAAGTGGCCAATGATGTCATCCCCAACCTGCTGAAGGAGGCAGCCAGCCTGCTAGAAGCAGGCGAGGAGCGGCCAGGGGAGCAAGCCCAGGTGAAGGGCTGGACTCCATTGGTGCACCCTCCTTCCTGGGCACATACATAGATTGAACTACATGGACAGGATTGGGGATTCTCTTTTGCTGGCGCTGATATCCTGGGATTGGGTCTGAAAGGACTTTAGGGTGTTTTAGAGCTAAAGTCTTTAAGAAAATGGGTTGATGGTCCATCTCTTTGATGGCCAAGTTCTAACCTGGGCTAGGCTGTAGGTGAGGAAAGACACCCCCCCCTTCACTCACACTAAGGGTTGGCCTTATAAAAGGAAGGAGGTCCTAGCCTGGACTTTCCTTCCCTGAAACTAAGGCTTTGCCCAGGTGGAGCCTGGCCTGCACACTGTGTGACCTCTGCTGTACCTTCCCTCTTATCCAGGGCACCCAGGGCCAAGGTTCTGCCCTCCAGGACCCTGAGTGCTTTGCCCACCTGCTGAGATTCTATGACGGCATCTGCAAATGGGAAGAGGGAAGCCCCACACCAGTACTGCACGTAGGCTGGGCAACTTTCCTTGTGCAGTCCCTAGGCCGCTTCGAGGGACAGGTGAGAGGGTCCCATCCCGGGCATCCAGGGCATGAGAACTACAGGTGGTGACAGTAGCCACAGGGGAGTGAGATTATATTGCATATGGGTGTTTATGAGGACAGATGAGTGGACACTCCTAGAGGAGTGGCCAGGAGCTGAGCCTGGAGTCCCACTGGTGAGCCACAACCTTTCCCTTGGCTTGCACTTTGCTCAGGTGCGGCAGAAGGTACACATAGTCAGCAGAGACGCAGAGACAGCAGAGGCTGAAGAGCCATGGGGCGATGAAGCCCGAGAAGGCCGTCGGCGTGGTCCCCGCCGAGAGTCCAAGCCTGAGGAGCCACCGCCACCCAAAAAGCCTGCTTTGGACAAGGGCCCGGGCTCAGGGCAAAGTGCAGGGTCAGGACCACCCAGGAAAATGTCAGGGACTGTCCCAGGTGCTACCCGGGGCCCGGAAGTCAGCAATGCTGCTCAGGCTCCAGCACCTGCAGCATCGCCACCCCCAGAGGGCCCGGTGCTCACTTTTCAGAGTGAGAAGATGAAAGGCATGAAGGAGCTGCTGGTGGCCACCAAAATCAACTCGAGCGCCATCAAGCTTCAACTCACAGCACAGTCGCAAGTGCAGATGAAGAAACAGAAAGTGTCCACACCCAGCGACTACACACTCTCTTTCCTAAAGCGGCAGCGCAAGGGTCTCTGAACTCCTCAGGATTCTGTGACAAGGCTCCAGGCCTGCCCTCACTCCCAGCAGGCTTCACCCTAGTCTTCAAGCCCAGACTCCGCCCACAGTACTGCGGGGGGCCCAGAGCTGTCGTGCAGTGACTGGGAACCTTCATTTAGCCCCTTTTCAGGCCCCAGAGCCCTGGCTCCGTTCTTAGAATTTAGGTTTCATCTCCCACCAGCCAGCCAACTGGAACCTCATTGTAGGTCCATGCAGCCAATCTTGACAGGTCCAACCCCCACAATTCAATGGACCATGACAAGAACCCTGAACAGTTTGGCATTCCTCCCACTTGGGGGCTAGATTGACCTTAGCCCTAGAGCACAGTTGCTACCTGGAAACCCTGGGGGTAGATTTCCGCACTTTATAGAGTTCCAGCCTTTGGGAATCCAAGTCCCCTACCCCAAAGAACTTACATATTGCTGCCTGAATTTGGAAATCTTCCTCGTCTCCCTAGCCCTGGAGTCCAGGACATGAAGCTCCGACTCTTATCTGTGAATACTGAGCCTCACCCCCTTCCTGACCAAACTGGCCGGAGAACAGAGCAGGACCTCTTCCAGCCCTCTGGGAACCTCCCTGAGGTCCCCGGAGGAAATCTGCACGGGGTGGGGGAGGGCCAGTCTCTTCCTGTTTTGTACATAGATTTATTTTTCAGTTCCAAGGAAGATAAATACATTTTGTTAAGAAAAAAGAGAGATGTATGTGTTTCATCTGGGAATTCGGGGATGGAGCGGGAATGGATGTCCGCTTTTGCTCTGTCTTAGGACTTTGAACTTCATGCTCCGCACCTGTAGCGTGTTGAGAATTGGGAGGGGGACCTAAGCTCCTCCCCTGCCTCAGGGACTTCCCCGCGCTAGCAGGGCGCCTCCTCTCGGCCAGGCAGGCGGCGGGGCATCCCCGGGCTGGCCCCGCCCCGGTATGGCCCCGCCCCTACGGCCTCTGAGTCTCGGTGCTGCCCCTGCTCGCCTGCCTGCCTCGCCCCGCCCCGCCCCGCGCCGCTCCGCGCCGGCTCCGCAGCTCGCGCCCGCCGGCCGGTCCGGCGCCGGGCCATGGCGCTGTTGCGGGACGTGTCGCTGCAGGATCCGCGGGACCGCTTCGAGCTGCTGCAGCGTGTGGGGGCCGGGACCTATGGCGACGTTTACAAGGTGCGCTGCGCGGGGCTGCGGGACGGGTGGGAGCACAGAAGGAGGGTGCATCTTCACGTCCCGCCGCTGGAGCCCCGGCCCCGCCCCCTCCCTACCCGCTTCTCGCCTTGCGCCCCCAGGCCCGTGACACCATCACGTCTGAACTGGCAGCGGTGAAGATCGTCAAGCTAGACCCAGGTGTGGGCCCGGGTGGGGCCTCTGCGCTCCGGGGAGGCGGGCGGGTGAGCTGGCGGGGGCGGAGAGTTGACATTTTCTAGACCCCCAGCGAAGCCGACCCCAGGACAAACTAAGGTCTGGCACCTGCTCGGCGAGAAGGGAAATACTCTATGCTCATTTTGCACATAGGGACAGAGTCTGGGCTACTCGTGTGCCCCCCCATAATGCCTTGTGCTCCCCAGGGGACGACATCAGCTCTCTTCAGCAGGAAATCACCATCCTTCGTGAATGCCGCCACCCCAATGTCGTGGCCTACATCGGCAGCTACCTCAGGTGAGGTTGTTTATCTTCTTGCCCCAGACAGCCCTCGTGTGTCCTGCACTGTGCCAGCCCCAGCTCTCTGTCTCCCCAGGAATGACCGCTTGTGGATCTGTATGGAGTTCTGTGGAGGAGGGTCACTGCAGGAGATTTACCACGGTGAGAGCCAGACTCCATGGGACATGGCCTTTCCCAATCCCAACATAGGGTTAGGAGGGCATCCTCCTGGCTGAACTTGGACTCTTCTTAGCTTCTGACTGGCTGTGTGACCTTGAGAGAAATACTGTCCTTCTCTGGGCTCAGTTTCCCAGCCCGAACCTGGAAGAAATGTGGCTACCATCACTTTGCAGTAGCGGTGCCTGCTGCTTCACACTATGCAGGGTGGGTAGGGAGGGTCAGCATATCCCTCGGGCTGTTTCTCTTCAGCCCTCATTCTGTATGTTTCAGCCACTGGGCCCCTGGAAGAACGGCAGATTGCCTATGTTTGCCGGGAGGCACTGAAGGTACGGGGCTCATAGGTAGCACCCATTTTGGAATCCTCAGGAGTGTGGGCCCAACCCGTCTGGCCAGTGGGAGATTGGGACCTTAGGATGGGATGGCTCAGGGGATCTAGGTCCTAGCGGGAGGGGGCCCCAGTTCTGTTGCCGGAAGCAGCCTATTTCCCTCTTGGCTCAGTCACTTCCTGTTTGGGGAGAGGGGTGGAGGAAGCAGCTTGGGTGGGGGGGCCCCAGTCCTGAGGAGGGGCTCAGAAGAGATAATTAGTGCAAAGTAGCTGTCCTCAGAGACTTCTGTTTGTCCCCAGGGGCTCCACCACCTGCATTCTCAGGGGAAAATTCACCGAGACATTAAGGTAGGGGTCAGCCAAGGACATGGTTCAAACGAGGAGGAAGCTGCCAGGCACCTGACACAATCCTTTCTGTGCCCCCTCCCCCAGGGTGCCAACCTTCTGCTCACTCTGCAGGGTGATGTCAAGCTGGGTCAGTACTGGGGAATACCATGTGGGTAAGGGTTCAGCAGGGGCTCAGGGACCGTAGAATTGAGTGCTGGAGATCCCAGTCGCTTTGTTGCTTGAGCCTCAGTTTCTCCATTTAGATGTAGCATTATTGCCTGCTGATAGTTGGCTGAGATTGAACTGGGCGGGATCTGACATGGGATTAAGTTTTTAGAGATGGAAGGGTGGTGACTCATCTCAGAAGAGGGGCCTGGCCTGGCTTGGGACAGTTGTGGCTGGACCCATGCCCTACCTGGTATAGCTTGGGCCCTGGGGTGGGAGCTAAGAGAGGCCCTGGGGCTGGTAAGAGTCTCTTTCCTGCAGCGGACTTTGGGGTGTCAGGCGAGCTGACGGCATCTGTGGCCAAGAGACGGTCTTTCATTGGCACTCCATACTGGTAAGATGGCGCCCTGGCAGTAGGGGTAGTGGCCACAAGAAGGGCATCTGGCCATCTTGTATGTATGTGACTGACTCTAGGATGGCGCCAGAGGTTGCTGCTGTGGAACGCAAGGGTGGCTACAATGAGCTATGTGACGTCTGGGCCCTGGGCATCACTGCTATTGAGCTGGGCGAGCTACAGCCACCGCTGTTCCACCTGCACCCCATGAGGTCAGCCTAACACATGCCCCTGACCCTTGCCCTGCCGACTCTTGACTCATGAGTTCACATCCTCCCCAGGGCCTTGATGCTCATGTCGAAAAGCAGCTTCCAACCACCCAAGCTGAGAGACAAGACGCATTGGTGAGGGCTCCAGCCAAGCCCCCATAGGACAGAGGCTTGCCAAGGATTGAGCTTGGTTCCCACTGTGGGCAGTGGGATGGGGGAGTGGAGGGGCACGAGGGGGAAGGAAGGGCT